CTGTTATCATGGGATCCCCACCACTCACCTGCCTGCAGCCCCACTGCTCCCTGTTATCACAGGGTCCCCATCACTCTCCTGCCTGCAGCCCCCACTGCGCCCTGTTCTCACTGGGTCCCCACCACTCACCTGCCTGCAGCCCCCACTCACCCCTGTTCTCACGGGGTCCCCACCACTCTCCTGCCTGCAGCATCCACTGCTCCCTGTTCTCACTGGGTCCCCACCACTCACCTGCCTGCAGCCCCCCCTGCTCCCTGTTCTCACGGGGTCCCCACCACTCACCTGCCTGCAGCCCCCCTGCTCCCTGTTCTCACGGGGTCCCCACCACTCACCTGCCTGCAGCCCCCACTCACCCCTGTTCTCACGGGGTCCCCACCACTCACCTGCCTGCAGCCCCCCTGCTCCCTGTTCTCACAGGGTCCCCACCACTCAGCTGCCTGCAGCCCCCACTCACCCCTGTTCTCACGGGGTCCCCACCACTCTCCTGCCTGCAGCATCCACTGCTCCCTGTTCTCACTGGGTCCCCACCACTCACCCCTGTTCTCACTGGGTCCCCACCACTCACCCCTGTTCTCACGGGGTCCCCACCACTCACCCCTCTTCTCACGGGATCCCTGACTTCTCTCTGCTCTGAAAAGCCTCTCTGCCTCATTCATTTTCACCTGGGCATTCATTTAAAGTACCTGGATGCCTTCATTGTGTGTTGCTATGAATGATGTCTTGATCGTGGTAGCTTTACCACTTGTAGAATGAAGACAACGCAGCTTGTTTCTTTTGTTTGTTCATTTTTGTTGTCACTTATCAACTCAACAAAGTGTGGTAGACATGCATGAAGGCATGAGTGGAATGTAAGTAGTAATTATGATTCTTGCCTGACAGCCTGACCAGACAGCTGGCGTCCATCTGTTTTATTTGCCCTTCCATATCAGTCGATGTTTGACTACGAGCACAGTACATAGGCCAGTCTTTGCTTCCCTTTCTCCTAAAGGTTTAACTTTTGTAGCCTTTATGAGTCTTTACCTCAACTTGCGTCTAGTGCAGTGGAATTCTGTGTATTCCTGCCATTCTTCTGTCCTTATCCATCTTTCAGCATTTTTATCATGTAACACAGGATCATTAACAAAGTCATAATATTAATTTTATTTAATGTGCTTATTTTATCTTCATGGGGATAAAGTGGATTTTTAATTTAGAGTAGTGCCTGGCACGTTGACTGCTGACGAGTGCACTTATTCCTAGTACAGAGTTCTTCGTCTCCTTCTGATACTCCTTTTGGCTCTGCTGCTCACTCTGCAGTGGTTCTGTCATTTTTATTTATTAGCATTTACTTCCATTCCCTCTCTTTGTCATAAATAAATCCTGGAAAGCAATTTGCTCACTGCTTCCTCAACTATGTTTTTTCAGGGGTTGAGCTACTATCCTTGATTTAACTGAGTGAGATTTCCGGAAGGTGCGTGGATAGACGTTCCTTACCTCCACCATGTCAGGCCTTTGAAAAAGTGAATTAGACAGCATCTCTCCTGTGCTTCAGTGTGCACTCTGGCTAGGCAGTCTTCGTGTTACCTTCCTGTGCTAGTACCTTAGTTGTGTCTTTACTCCTAAACCTCCCTGTATTTTATCAATTGAATTAATGCAATTTTTTCCTAATTGTCACTGGGAACTCACCAAGAAGATGCTTCGTTTACCATCATCGTGGGTATTCTAATGAAAACAGCTCCAAAAATCTTCACACCAGGGACTCTGGGTCTCACGGCTGATCAGGAATTAGAGGCGTTACTTTGCATAGCCTCTTCAATTTAATTTCCTTTGTCAGAAAAGTACATAGTACCTGTTGGTGCACATTACAATCATGACAAAAATTTGAATTTTCCTTGATACATTTTATATGTAATAATTATTTCTGATTTTTTTGGTAAAATATCATGAGGCTTTAATTTCTCATTTAGGTACTCCCAAGCCCACTGTCAAATGGCTACACAACGGTAGAGAGCTGACCGGCAGAGAGCCTGGTATCTCCGTCCTGGAAGGCGGCAGGTTGTTGGTCATTGCTTCCGTTGCACCGTCTGATGGTGGGGACTACATCTGTGTGGCAGTCAATGAAGCCGGCACCGCAGAGAGGAAGTACAACCTCAAAGTCCATGGTAAGTACGAACCAACACTAATAAGTCTCCCCCACAATACAGCAATGAGAAGGCTTGGATTCGGTTTGCCTGATTGTTAGGGCTTGTAAGCCCCTGCAGGCAGAGCAGAGCATGCGCTGCAGGGCACCGAATACAGGCACGCATCAGCGCCTAAAAACCTCCTCACAACATGGCGAAGAGAGGACCCGGCCTCCTGACCCTGAGCTGGGCCATCTAGTGCTCCTCTCCACAGGAAGGGAAAGTGCCACTTTGTGGGTGTACGTGTGAAGACAGGCGCGTATCAACGCCAAAAATAAAAAGAAAGGGGGATCTGTGGGGAGCAACTCGGACTAGACTGAGTTACTGGAATTAAGACTTATTCTATGCATCTGCTCTCCCACAATATGGCGCTGGGAGAGAAGAAAACAGCTTCCGCACAGCTGCCTCCAGTTCAACCAATAAACTGTAGGACTTGCTCCTGATTGGAGGAGAGCAGCGTACTCGGCGTGTGGGCAGCCGAGTTGGGATTGGCAGAGGAGGACTATAAAGGAGGAGAGAGACGGCATGCACCAGGAACATCTAAGGGGAACATCTAAGGGAACACCTGTGCAGCCCCCGAGAGAGCCGGCTGGCGGTGTGCCGCTCCCCTGCGGAAGTGGGGAATGTGGCCAGGGGGAACTGCCCTTCCACGGAGGTGGAAGGGTCGGTAGCCAACCCGGGAAGAACCAGCAGCAAACCCGGGGAGGGCCGAGCAGACGAAAGAACAGCGCAGGGTCCTGTGTCGTTCCTCCACGAAGAGGGGGAGTGACAGATGTATAATATTTATCCTCTTTTCACTTACATAGAGTAGAAAGTTATACTCTTTAGTCTGCATTTCATCTGCTTCACAAAATGGCTTATCTTGGGAACTATTCAGTATTCCTAACTCTTTATCTATAGTATGCCGCTGTGTAGCTATACAATGATTTATTTAACCTTGCTTTATTAATGGTGAGTGTTGCGATTGTTACCATGTGTTCACTATTATGTAGAACCCCTCAGTAAAAATCTTATACATATGCCATTTTGCATTAGTAAAATGCCAGATGCATTTGAAAATTTGGTGAATATTGACTTTCATAGAGATTTAAGGCTCCTGTGACTTAAATTGAGACCTCTTGGTACCAACCTTGTGGTGCAGTGGGTTAAACTGCCACCTGCAACACCAGCATCCCATAATGGAGAGCTGGGTCAAGTGCTGGCTGCTGTGCTTCTGATCCAGCTCCCTGCTGATGCACCCAGGAAGCCAGCAGAGGCTGACCTGAACACGCGGGCCTCTGCCATGCACAGGAGAGATTCAGATGGAGTTCTGCACTCCTGGCGTCAGCCAGGATCAGCCCCAGCTCTTGCTAACCATTTGTGGAGTGCACTAGCAGATAGAATATCTTTTTCTCTGTTTCTTCCTCTCTCTGTGTCACTCTGTTTTGCAAATAAATAAATAAGGCCTTTTTTAAAAAAAGTAATACCCCCTACAACAGGTTGTGTTTTGAGTGGTATGTAAAATACATAGGTTCTATGTTAAATTTGTCCTGAATTCTGCCATTGAATTTAAAACCCTGAAATAGTAATAGTAAGACTTTTTGTATATAAATATGTTGGTCAAGGCTTTTTACAATAAGTATATGCTTGAATATGACTAGCTGTTCTGGCCAGTAAATCTCAGAATCTGCTTTGTAAAGTCCTTTGTAAAGAAACTTTAGGGTAATACTTATGATGACCGCCTGGCTGTGACTTCTGTCTCTGCAGTTCCTCCTGTAATTAAAGATGAAGAACAAGTAACGAATGTGTCCGTGTTGGTGAACCAGCTGACCAGTCTCTCCTGCGACGTGGAAGGGACGCCACCTCCCGTCATCACGTGGTACAAAGATGACGTGCTGGTAAAGTGGCACTCCTTGCTTCTGCACTGAGAGGAACTTGTTCAGCTGTTCGTTTTTCACGATTAGTGATGCAGATGTTTTAGTTCAGTGTTTAATTGTGTGTTCATATCCGGTTTGGAGGTAACACTGACCTCTCGGGCCCCTGCAGGTGCAGGAGAGCAGCACTATTGAGACCGTGAGCAATGGGAGGACCCTGAAGCTCTCCTCGGCCACGCTGCAGGACTCGGGACGATACTCCTGCAGAGCAGTGAACGTCGCGGGCACTTCTCAGAAGGACTTTAATATCCATGTGCTCGGTAAGGAAGATGGGCTTTGAAAAAACTGTGCTTCGGGTGCGTTTCTTACGCAGTATGCAGAGAGGTAACTGAAAAAGCAAAACATTAAATCGATAGAAGGGCCGGCGCCACGGCTCACTAGGCTAATCCTCCACCTTGCGGCGCCGGCACACCGGGTTCTAGTCCCGGTCGGGGCGCCGGTTCTGTCCCGGTTACCCTTCTTCCAGGCCAGCTCTCTGCTGTGGCCTGGGAGTGCCGTGGAGGATGGCCCAAGTACTTGGGCCCTGCACCCCATGGGAGACCAGGAGAAGCACCTGGCTCCTGCCATCGGATCAGCGCGGTGCGCTGGCCACAGCGTGCCAGCCGCGGCGGCCATTGGAGGGTGAACCAACGGCAAAGGAAGACCTTTCTCTCTGTCTCTCTCTCTTACTGTCCACTCTGCCTGTCCAAAAAAAAAAAAAAAAAAAAATCGATAGAAGAAACGCCGTCTGTTCCACTCTGTATTTTTGTCTTTAACAGAGGTTATTCAGAACCTGATGCAGAAAGTTTGAATGTGGTTATTACTTGTAATACAGAGAAGTCCTGGAGTTGTAGACCCAAAAGTCTCCAATAAAATAAAGTAGTACCATCTTCTGTAAAACAGGAAATTACTACTAATGTCAAATTCTCCAGTTAGGTGGGCAGGAAGCTCCCTAGCAAGTAGCCACCCAGAGTGTCGTGCAGTACAACTCACTTGTGGCTTGTCTAGCCCATTCTTCACTCAGCAGCCAGTGTGGTCTTAACACACACACCTGACCACACATGCCCCTCCCCTCCTGCAACCTCTAGTGTCTGCTCATTTTCCGGAAGCTGAGCACCTCACTTGGGGTGAAGGACGAGGCTGAGATGTGAGGGAGGTGTACAGGAGCTGCGTGATGTGCTCCATACTCCCAAAATAAAAGCCCACATACCCTGTCCTGTGACAGCGTGGACAGCTTGAGCGGACCTTAGCATCGTTCTTGTAAGAGATAAAGGCAGTGCATTTCAAACAGCATGACAGCGTAATATGAGAACTTGAACTTCGTGAGAGTTGATGATGTCATTCGTTATCTCTGATGTATAACAGTAGTATATTTAGTTATATAAAGGTACTTCGAAAAGTTCATGGAGCCGGCACCGCGGCTTACTAGGCTAATCCTCCACCTGCAGCGCCAGCACCCTGGGTTCTAGTCCCGGTCGGGGCGCCGGTTCTGTTCCGGTTGCCCCTCTTCCAGGCCAGCTCTCTGCTGTGGCCCAGGAGTGCAGTGGAGGATGGCCCAAGTGCTTGGGCCCTGCACCCGCATGGGAGACCAGGAAGAAGCACCTGGCTCCTGGCTTCAGATCGGCACAGTGCGCCGGCTGTAGTGGCCATTTGGGGGGTGAACCAACGGAAGGAAGACCTTTCTCTGTGTCTCGTTCTCTCTCACTATCTAACTCTGCCTGTCCAAAAAAAAAAAAAAAAAAAAAGTTCATGGAAAGGTGGGCATTTAGCCTAGCAGGTAAGATACCTGCATCCCACATTGGAATACCTGACTTCATGTCCAACTCTAGCAGACCTTGGGAGTAGTTGGCCTGGGTTGAGTTCCTGGCTCATGGCTTCTGACTAGCTCAGTCAGGCATTTAGGGAGCCAAACAGCAGATGTGAGCAATCTCAATCCCTCCTGCTTGCTTGCTGTCTTTCTCTCCTTACATCTCAAAAAATTCTAAAATTAAATCAAACATTTTCAGGTTCATGAAACACCTTGTGCATATGAGTTGAATATATGCTTCCAAGTGAATCCTGTATTAAGATAACAGATCTTTCATGAATATGTTTCTGTATTTAAATTTAATATTTGGGCACACAGATTTTGTCATATTTTTAACATTAACGATTTGTTGAAACATAGAAATCAGTGATTACCTGCTTCCCTTCTCCCGAGCCTGTTTGTTAAGTCATAGATTCTCATGGTAAAATGTCTTTGTTCAAGTTCCGCCCAGCGTGATAGGAGCGCGCTCCCCAGATGAAGTCTCAGTGGTCCTCAGCCGCAGCACCACCCTCGAGTGCCGGGTCACAGGCACCCCCTTCCCCGACATCCACTGGCTCAAAGACGGCAAGTGAGTACCTTTGCTGTGTCTGTTGCTCAGTTCGTGGATTTGAGTGGTGTAGGGAACAGGTTAAGCCGAGGCCGAAGTAGCCAGGAGTCACAAGGGTTACAGTGCATCGAAAGGCACTTACATCCAGACTGTGCAAAACAATAAGGAAGATAACCAACAGTAAATGTAATGTGATGAAAAATGTTCAGAGAAGCAAGAGATTTTATTTTATTTTATTTTTTATTCTTTTTTTTTTTTTTTTTTTTTTGACAGGCAGAGTGGACAGTGAGAGAGAGAGACAGAGAGAAAGGTCTTCCTTTGCCGTTGGTTCACCCTCCAATGGCCGCCACGGCTGGCACGCTGCGGCCGGCACACCGCGCTGATCCGAAAGCAGGAGCCAGGTGCTTCTCCTGGTCTCCCATGGGGTGCAGGGCCCAAGCACTTGGGCCATCCTCCACTGCACTCCCGGGCCACAGCAGAGAGCTGGCCTGGAAGAGGGGCAACCGGGACAGAATCTGGCGCCCCGACCAGGACTAGAACCCGGTGTGCTGGCGCCGCTAGGTGGAGGATTAGCCTAGTGAGCCGTGGCGCCGGCCCGAGATTTTATATTATAGTTAGGCAATTAACATACTAAAAAAAGTTCACCCTCAATGACTTGATGAATGTAAATAAATACGGTTTTGATTTTCACTGGTCATGCAGACAAAAAAGTAAAGCATTGAAATCTCAAATGTTAGCTGGAGTATGGGGGGTCAGTTCTCAGATGAGGAGGCTGTAAACGCGTACCCTGAAGACTGTTGATTGGCATCTGTGAAAATGTCTTTCATGTGCTGGTTCTGGGCCAGGGTGATGCCAGGAATCGGGAGCTTCATCTGGGTCTCCCATGTGGGTGATAGGGCCCAGCTACTTGGGATGTCTTCCGCTGCTTTCCCAGCTGCATTAGCAGGAGCTGGATCAGAAATGGGGCAGCCGGGACACGAACTGGCACCCGTATGGGATGCTGAAGCCACGGACAGCAGCTTCACCCATTGTGCCACAATGCTGCCCCCCTGAGAATACTTTTTAAAATAGTATTACTTAGCCCGAGTTTTCTAGAGTGTCACACTAAACTGTACTTAGTAATAAAAACAAATATAGAGAAAGAGTAAGAGTGGATGAGTGAAAAAAATGACACTACTGATTATAAATAATATTAGACAAGTTAAGTTGGAAATAGGGAAGCTTTTCATCTGAAAATGATGATTATCTAATTTCTATTAATAAAGCAGTGTAGTGATTTCATTCTTCTGAATGAGTGCTAATTGCATCACTGCACATTTTTAATCAACTTTGATTCTGTTTTCAACTTGTTATCACTAAGTGATTTTTGTTGTGGTGAATGAGTGAGGAAACATGGGCAAATAAAAATGAACTTCTGGGAGCCGGCACTGTGGCATAGCAGGTAAAGCCACTGCCTGCAGTGCCGCATCCCATATGGGTGCTGGTTTAGTCCCGGCTGCTCCACTTCCAATCCAGCTCCCTGCTAATGCGCCTGGGAAAGCAGTCCTGCCTGCAGTGCTGGCATGGCATGTGGGCATCTGTTTGAGCCCTGGCTGCTCCACTTCTGATCCAGCTCCCTGCTGGTGTGCCTGGGAAGGCAGTGGAGGATGGCCCAAGTATTTTGGGCCCCTGCATCCACTTAGGAGACCTGGAGGAAGCTCTTGGTTCCTGGCTTTGGATTGGCTCAGCTCTGGCCATCGCAGCCATTTGGGGAGTGAGCTCAGTGGATGGAACTTTTCTCTCTCTCTCTGTCTCTTTCTCACCCTCTCTCTCTGTAATTCTGCCTTTAAAATAAAATAAATAAATCCTTAATAAAAAAATTTATGGAATAAATTTTTATTTTTTCTAGGCCTTTGTTGTTGAGCGATCCCAATATTGAACTTCTAGACAGAGGACAAATTCTGCATCTAAAGAATGCACGAAGAAGTGACAAGGGGCGCTACCAGTGTGCTGTGTCTAATGCAGCTGGCAAGCAAGCCAAGGACATAAAGCTGACTGTCTATCGTAAGTGTGATGCCCTTGTGCTGTCTGCCCCGTCACTGTTGTTGATGGAAGATTGACAAGCAGGCTTTCCTCCCATGTGCACTGCTCTGTTATTCAGTATCGCTCATTTGGAATGCTGCTCCCGGGGAAGGAACCTGTCTGCGTGCGTCTAAGGCTAGTGCCCTGCACCCTGTTCCAAGGTGTTTTATCTTCAAGTATGAATTTTTTCATATGCTCAGTGACTCTTGTACTCTTCACTTAATGGGTCCAGAGTTTCCTAACTTGTCAGCTTATACAGAAATTAAATGTGTATACCTTGAAGGAGTTAAAGCTGTATAAAGTGTACAGGTGTCTGAAATAGAAGGAAACAGAAAATGTGCAAACAGTTGAACTGTACCATTTCGTACCATTGGGGTCTTTGTCCTGACATGTGATCCTATTTTTTTAAAGATTTATTTATTTATTTGAAAGGCAGAATTACTGAGAGGAGAGGCAGAGAAAGAGAGGTCTTCCACCCGCTGGTTCACTCCTCAGATGGTCACAACAGCTAGAACTGGGTCAATCTGAAGCCAGGAGCCAGGAGCTTCTTCCTGGTCTTCATGTGGATGCAGGGCCCAAGCACTTGGGCCATCTTCCACTGTTTTCCCAGGCCACAGCAGGAAGCTTGATTGGAAATGGAGCAGCCGGAACTCGAACCGGCGGCCATATGGGATGCCAGCATTGCAGCCGGTGGTTTTTCCCGCTGTGCCACAGCACTGGACCCCTGTGATCATATTTTAAACGCTTTATGTTTGTGCTGCTATTTTTCCCAGCTGTGCCCCAAAAGAGACACATAGCCTTCATTTCTTTGCTGGTGGCCAAAGTCGTTTTACTTTTGTATGAACTGAGCATGGGTAGCACGTGGCGATTATGTTGGAGGTACAGAGGGTACACAGTAGAACAGAGGAGAGCACAGTAGTCCAGTGATGCCTCTCAGGGCTGTACTCACTGCCTGTCTTCTCCTTTGCATAGTGGATGGCACTCAAGGCAAGTGCAGGTACTTCAGAAGGACAGCTGCTCACCGGGTTCCCCACCACGGCAGGCACCAGCCGCTTTCGGTCACCTGCTGCTACTTCATTTCCTTCACAGCGCTCGTCACAAGTCGCCTTATTTTAAATTATTTATTTATTATACTTACTAGCTATTTCTCTCCAAGAAATCTAAACTTTAAAAAAAAACATTATTTGAAAGAGTTAGAAAGAGATCTTCCATCTGCTGGCTCACTCCCCAAATGGCCGAAACAGCCAGAGCTTGACCTGACTGAAGCCAGGAGCCGGAGCTTCCTCTGGGTCTCTCACTTGGGTGGCAAGGGCCCAGACACTTGGGCCATCTTCCATTGCTCTCCTGGGCTGCTGTCAGGGAGCTGAGTCAGAAGTGGAGCAGTCAGGACATGACGCTGGCATTGCAGGCGGCTACTTGACCCTCTTGCATCACAGTGCCGGCCCCACAATCTAAACTTTTTTTTTTTTAATTTATTTACTTACTTGGATGTCAGAGTTAGAGGAAGAGACAGATCTTCTATCCACTGTTTCACTTCCCAGTCGGTTACCACTGACAGGGCTGGACCAGGCCAGAGTCAGGAGCCTGAAGGTTCATCTGGGTCTCTCATATGAGTTGCAGGGGCCCAGGCACTTGGAGCAGGCCACCAGCAGGGAGCTGGATTGGAAGTGGAGCAGCTGGGACTCAAACCAGCACCCATATGAGCTGCCAGCATTGCAGGCAGTGCCTTCACCTGCTATGTCACAATGCCAGCCCCATGAATCCAAATTTTTTTTTTTTTTTTTTGACAGGCAGAGTACACAGTGAGAGAGAGAGACAGAGAGAAAGGTCTTCCTTTACCATTGGTTCACCCTCCAATGGCCGCTGTGGTCGGCGCATCACGCTCCTCCGAAGCCAGGAGCCAGGTGCTTCTCCTGGTCTCCCATGCGGGTGCAGGGCCCACACACTTGGGCCATCCTCCACTGCACTCCCGGGCCACAGCAGAGAGCTGGCCTGGAAGAGGGGCAACCGGGACAGAATCCGGCGCCCCGACCCAGACTAGAACCCGGGGTGCTGGCGCCACAGGCAGAGGATTAGCCTATTGAGCCACGGCGCCGGCCCCAAATTTCTTAAGAATGGATCTTTGTTGGGCATATTCCCTACTTTAATGTCTGTTGAACAGTAGCAGCTCCCAAGAAATGCTTGCTACGTGAATGAAATATTTCCTGAAGGAATGGTCTAGTGCCACTCTCTGTAGTATCAGAAACACTACCCCATGTGTGTGGATCTGAAGCCAGAAGCTTCTCCTGGGTCTCCCATGTGGATGCAGGGGCCCAAGCACTTGGGCCATCTTCTACTGGTATCCCAGGCCATAGCAGGGAGCTGGATCGGAAGTGGTGCAGCAGGGACAGGAACCAGCCGCCCGTATAGGATGCCGGCACTGCAGGCAGAGGCTTAAGCTGCACCACGGCGCTGGCCCCTAAATCTTTTTCCCATCACATAGATTTGTAATTTTGCCATCCTCAGGTGTAACAAATCATAGCAGATTGTACTTCAAGTTGTAATGATGAGTGTTTTCTCGATTTCTCTGGGAATCCTTTGTCCCAGTTCTTCACGGACTGCCCTAGAGACCCATTCTTCAGCTTCTTCAACATTGGCCTTGGCTTCTGGAATAAGCAGGAGGAGGGAGGCAGTACTGGTGCCTGACACCTGTCGAGTGGCAAAGGCTCAGGCAGAGTTGCCCTTGTTAATACTGACTGTTGATGCTGCCCAGCAACCTGAACTCTTCAAACAGGCGTTCTCTGAGAAAGGCTAATATTCTCAACCTGATGGATTTTCTCCGTGCTGCAGTCATACATGACTTAACTAAATCGCCATTAGGAAATCAGTTGGTTTGCTCACCTAACAAAGAGCCACTCAGAAACTTGCTTTGGCTATAGCTTTTTTTTTTATTTCTATGAAGAAATTCTGCTGTGATGAGACAGTCCATTTAACATTTTCTAACTTTTCAGTTGGTTGCTTTTCTTTGAATTGGGAGTATTGTGATGGTTTAGTTCAGTGGTGTTCATAATATCACGTAATTACAAAATAACCATAATGCTCTGCCATTTAATTTGATAACAGCTGATCCATGCCCTGCTGTATCATTAAAATGTGAGATTTAGGGCCAGTGCCATGGCTGTCTTGGTTAATCCTCTGCCTGCGGCACCGGCATCCCATGTGGGCCCGAGTTCTGGTCCTGGTTACTCCTCTTCCAGTCCAGCTCTCTGCTGTGGCCCAGGAGTGCAGTGGAGGATGGCCCAAGTGCTTGGTTCCCTGCACCCGGATGGAAGACCAGGAAGAAGCACCTGGCTCCTGGCTTCGGATTGGCATGGGTCCGGCAGTGGCGGCCATTTGGGGGTGAGCCAATGGAGCGAGGACCTTTCTTTCTGTCTCTCTCTCTCACTGTCTATAGCTCTACCTGTCAAATAAAAGAAAAACATGTGATATTTAAAGTCTCCTATTCCGCTTTTCTCTTACTTTGCCATGATGCGTGTGCACTAGTAATACAATGTCATTGGCTTGTCATACGCATCAGGCTGGCGATGCTGCCAATTTGTACTGTTGCTAAAACTTAGGGGAAGCTAAACAGCAGCAGCAGCAACGAGAATACCGCGTTTGGGTCCTGTGGCAACTGCAGTGACGCATTGCTCAGAGGCCGCGATGCTCCCTGAGGGATGTGTCCTCAGGCAGTCTCCCCACGGAGCAGGTCAGAGTGTGGGTTTACAGCATCACTAAGCAGCACAGTCTCACGAGACCACTGCCATCTGTGCAGTTCTTCATTGTCCAGAATGTCCTTAGCTCAGCCATTGTTGAATGATAGGAGCCATAGACCACGGACAGTAGAACTCTATTTGTGAACGCTGAAGATTGAATTTCATGTAACTTTTACATGTCACAAAATACTGTTACACTTCTTGTTTTTTTCCAACTGTAAAAAAATGTAAAAAGCCATTCTTGTCTTGGCATCTCCTGGTCCTCCTTGGCCTACCCCTGAACTTTATAGTGGACCACCTTGCAGGGAAATGATTCCACCATCAGTATGGCAGATAGTACTGTCTTTATTATTATTATTATTAAAGATTTATTTATTTGAAAGTCAGACTTACACAGAGAAGGAGAGGCAGAGAGAGAGAAAGGTCTTCCATCCGCTGGGTCACTCCCCAGTTGGCTGCAACGGCCGGAGCTGCGCCGATCCAGAGCCAGGAGCCAGGAGCTTCTTCCAGGTCTCCCACACTGCTTTCCACTGCTTTTCATCTGCTTTCCCAGGCCATAGCAGAGGGCTGGATAGGAAGTGAAGCAGCCAGCCCCCAGATAGTACTTTCTATTTTGTGTGAGGGAAAAAATGTATATATGAATATTCATCACAGCAAACTGGTCCTACGAATGATTGCCAGAAAATGCTAAGCAGTGATTCCTCTTAACACCCAGATCTTGCTTCTAACATCCTTCACCACTGAATGGAGCCAGGTAAGTGGTTAATTCTAGGGCTGAGAATACACAAGATTAACCTGGGGCATATGGTAGGGCCACAGAGTAAGGAAGTTCTAAAACACGTATATGTAAATGTCTGTGTACACACACACACATTCTATTCTACATGAGTATGCCAAAGGAAATAGCCAACTGAAAGAACTCCTAGTAGCTAAAACTGGATAAATAATATTATAATAAATTACAACCCAAAGCATAAAATAAGTTTCCATGTGTCCATATTGATATAAATGATTAAAAAAATATTAACTGGGGAGAAGAGCCACATTCTCCCATATAGAAAGATTCTGAACAAATGATGAAGGCATTCCGCTCTCAAAGAAGTAGATCTAACTCCCCACCTCAAACTTCTGAGCTCAGAATAGTGACTCCCTTTGAAGAAAGGAACAAAGCCGAGTGAGTCCACAGTGGAGAAAGCCGGCAGACCTGGCCAGGTTGTCGAAGTTGACATCCCTGGTAAGAGGTCGTGCTGGGCCCTTGATTTCTGTGAGAAGTGTGTGCTTGACTTCTGTGTCTCCCCCTCAGAACCCACATGCTCGTCTAATCATAGGGAATGCGTTCTGTTCTGCAAATACTTTAGAATAAAATTATCATTTATTAAAGTTACACAACACTGAAGCTCAGACATGTGCCAGCCATTTGATTGCTGAAAGATTGTTGCAGTCACAGCACAGCCCTGGGATGCCAGGTTCAGAGTGTGGAGTAGACACAGAGCCCCGGAGTTGTTTTCCCAGCTCAGGTGGTGAGAGGCCAGGCGCGTGGTTGCTGAGGGGGGGCAGACACGTGTGCCCGATTAGGTGAGTTAAGTGGAATGAATTCACTCCTGGCAGTTCAAAAGAGAAAAGCAGCAAGAAGCCAAAATGGAAGACTGCACGGCTGCTGCCTGTAGCGGGTTCCGAAAGCCCTTCTTCGGCCTCTGGTACTGGGGAGAAAGATCACAGGTGTACCGTATGTGACAGTCCCTCTGCCTGATTTCAAACTGAACTCTGTCTACTTTAAGTGGGGTCAGGCACAGCTTCCTTGCTCTGATGTGATCTACTGGACATAAATTAACCCCTGAAATGGAATCGATGACTGTTTTAAATGAAATCTGGAACCCTGAAATGGGATGCCCTGGCTGTTGGAGAGGATTTGGGGTAATGAAACAGTGGACGGGAGAGCTGTCACTATCCTCCCCAGCACACCTCTACCTTTTCCTCTCTCTCTCCCACTCTCTGCCCCCCCCTCCCTCCCTTTCAAATAAAAATGAGTACAGATTTTTTAAAAAAGAGATTTTTTTGACAAAGCAGGCAACTAATTTTCAGTATTAAACCACAGATTTCCTAATTGCCTTTAATTTTTATTTTCTTCAAATGAATTTTTCAAGAATGTGTTGCAGAGGTTGAAGCTTAAGAGATGTGCTTTTGTTCCGAACTTCCTTGCAGTTCCACCCAGTATTAAAGGAGGGAATGTCACCACAGAAATATCGGCATTGATCAACAGCATGATTAAGCTGGAATGTGAAACACGGGGACTTCCAGTGCCTGCGGTCACGTGGTATAAGGACAGCCAGCCAGTCACGTCCAGCTCACAAGTACTTTATATTGACAAAGGGCAGTTTCTTCATATTCCTCAAGCACAGGTCTCCGATGCAGCAAAGTATACATGTCGTGTCTCCAATGTTGCTGGAACTGCGGAAAAATCATTCCATGTGGAGGTCTACGGTAAGGAAAACTATCTGTTTTCAATATAGAGTGGACTTCAAAAAGTTCATGAAAAACAAGGCTAAGATGAGTTTATTGTGGTGCAAAATTTTTTTAAATGATGTATAGCTTTTTCATAAGATGCATATCCATGAATTTTTGGAACCCCAGTGTGTGTATGTGTGTGCTTTTTTTTTTTTTTTTAACCAAAGCTAACATTAGCAAGAGGTCTCAAGAGGTCCATTCATTTGACCAGCCTTTATGCAGCATAACTGAAACATTTCAACCATCTGGTTCAATAACTGTTAAGACTAAGGTCATTCTCCACTGTTTGATCTGTATAAGCCTGACAGAACAGATAATGAGACTAGCAGTAAATGGAATAGTTGCAGATCAGCTGAGCTAAGAAATTTCTTTCGCCAACAGCTTAAGGGGAAATAGACGTGAGGGAGTTTCTGTGTCAAACTATGAGAGCGAAAGACTCTCCCTCTTGTTTCTGTAGGATGTTACTTTGTGACTGCCCGAGTTGTCTGAAACATTACTTTCTCTACCTAGTTCCTCCATCGATTGAAGGGGACTCGGCCACGCCTTGGAACAGACAAGTGGTTCTTGGTCACTCACTGACACTGGAGTGCAGAGCTTCTGGCAACCCCCCTCCAGTTCTCACCTGGTTAAAAGACGGGGTACCTGTGAGAGCCAGCGATAATGTCCGCATCGAAGCTGACGGGAAGAAACTGGAGGTCCTGAGTGCCATGGAAGCCGATCGGGGAGAGTACGTGTGTGTGGCTACCAATGTGGCGGGAGAAAAGGAAATCAAATATGAAGTTGATATCCTAGGTAAATACGGATGCCCAACACCTGGATGCTGAGATTCATGGCAAGATCTGATTGGTTTATTGATTTTTTTGTTTGTTTGTGCAGTAATAAAACAAGCTAAGAGAAGGATAGTTACTGTTCAACTCTGGACAACATGTGACCAGGTGGATTGACAACTGTAGTTCCAAGACCTAGAATCTCAAAACCCGCCACTGATTTTGATGGGAACACTCTAAGTGCTTACATATATTCCTGCCTCTGTCACAGTAGTTGATTGCAGTCTTCTGTCATGAGCGCTGTGCTAGACAGCAGGAGCCAGTCTCTGGGCCTTGGGAAGTCATTTCACCATCTTATGTCTTAAAAATAAAGCCTTCAGTTTCCAGATAAAGACATAAAGATTTAGATATTGATTTTGAAAGGCAAAGTTATAAGAGAGAGGAGGTAAGAGAGAGAGATTGATCTCCATGCCCTGGTTCACTCCCAGGTAGCTGTAATGGCCAGAGCTGGGCCAGGGCTGAGGCTGGGAGCCAGAAGCTTCACCTGGGTGGCACCCACCCACACAGCGCCCATCCTCTGCTGTTCCTCCAGGCCATTACTAGGGAGCTGGACCAGAAGTGGGAGGAGCCAGGACATGAACTGGAATGCCGGCATTGTCGATGGCAGCTTTACTGGCTATGCCACAATGCCGGTCCTGAAGGCTTTTTAATAGGTAGCCAATTTGAGGGGTTGCTTTCCCTGAGTCATACAAAAACAAACAATGTAAAATACTGACTTTAGATAATGTGTCATCAGCAGTACATTAGTGCTCGATAGAGAAGAATCCACAATATGTCCAAAGTGTGTTCGGCGATCCCAATGAGTGTTTATTGTAAAAGGTTTTTATAATGCATTCAGATCTCTTTGACATGTGAATTACTGTGATACTTGTCAACCTTCTAAACCGCTCCCAGGATTGCTTGCCTGCTCCCCAGGATTGCTTGGTGAGCTGATGTGTCTCTTCCTCCAGTGTTTCCCTGGTGTTACATGTTGTTGTTTTCCAGTGCCTCCAACTGTAGAAGGAGGAGAGGAAACATCTTACTTCATTGTGATGGCTGATAACTCGCTGGAGCTAGATTGTCAAGTGGCGGGCTCTCCCCCACCAGCTATCGTGTAAGGATTTTGCTCTTCTGAATCCCTTCCACGTTGTGCTCCCAGTGTTTTAGAGCTATCTTGAAAGAGTTCCGTGTCCTTGGAAGGTGGTAATATAGAATTCTCTGTCTTCCTCTTTTAATGGCTTACTCTGTCTGCAAAGCAGCTTTGACATCCAAAAAGCCACCAAGTTTACTCAGTTAGAGGAATTCTCTCTATGGTCTTAGAAGTTATTTTTTTCAGTTTATGGAGATGGACTACTAAGCAGTATTCAAGTCAGATCTTGGAAATGTTTAATGAACTACTAAATAAAAGAAGTGGGTGTATAACAATAAAGGAAGCTAGTCAATATACATGTGTTCTTACCAATTCTTTTCTCTTATTCCTTCACTCACAAAGCATATGTTGAATCCTTGTCTTCCATTTCCAAGGTGCTGTGGGATTTGCAGAGGCACAGTTAGTTGACTAATGAAATGAGATACGGCCACACATGACTATAGAACTAAACAGAAAGTGGTGACTCATAAGAAATGTGGAAATATGTTATTTGATTTCAAGGCTTTATTTACAGATTTTTAAAATTATGTGCAAGTTGCTGGTTAATACTGTACAAACATTGACGTGAGCTATATTTGGGGCATTTGCCTCTTTGTATAACCTAAAATTAGTTGAGGAATGAAGAGCTCAACACATAGTTATTGGGTCTAACAATATGCCAACCACAGGGTTAGGTCAGGTTGCGTTTTTCTTCTTTTCTCCATTTACAGTTTATTTTACAGAGTAAACAATGAGGACATTAGGCAAACACACAGTGAAGAATAAATTATACAAACACACACAGTGTCATCTAGGAAACTACTTGCTTGTATTATTTATGCAAACTTTTTTTATTGATGCCTTTTCCTGCAGGTGGCTGAAGGACGGTCAGCTAATTGACGGAAGAGATGGATTCAAGGTTTTACTAAATGGACGTAAATTGGTTATTGCTCAGGCGCAGGTGTCAGATACTGGTGTTTACCAGTGTGTGGCAACAAACACTGCTGGAGACCACAGGAAGGAGTTTGAAGTGACTGTTCATGGTATGATGAGGAAGGGGACAGGAGAACTATACTGCCAATTAGTGTGTGTGTCGTTTCATATTCAAATCCCGGTTGTAGCTCAGTAATCTGGATGGATCTTGGGTTATGGAAAGCAGCATAAAGGATGCAAATTTGAGTTCACTCATGGTGGATTTTAAGTGCTCTAGAGACTCGACTGTGAGGCATCGTGTGAAAGAATGTGGAATTTACATGTTAGGAAGTGTATCCTGCACAGGATGCCTGTGGAACGAGACCTTGTGAGGCAGAAGAGACAGATGGCAACAGAAGTCCAGGGGTTGTGTCAGCACTGAAAGTCTCATCCAAAAGGAGCAGTTGTGAGTAGGGCAGTTTCCATCCTGAAGATGAGCTGCAGGATTGAGGGCACGTAAGTGCGTTCACAGAGCTGGCACGATAGGGTTAGAACCATTGGTCTCATGACATCCTGTCAGGGCATGGTGCTGCCAGTGTTTGGAAGGGAGGGACTGGAACCAGAAAGTGGAGAGCCGTTTGGAAGCCACAGAGGAAGTGGCTACAGATGCCAGCTTCCTTCTTCCAACTCTTCCTCTGCAGAAGATTTTTTTCCTTTGTTGGTCCCCCTGTGGTTTGGTCTCCATCCTAGCTCCTGAGGGAGGCAGGCCCAGCTTGTGTCAGATCACCCTCCCGATTCCCAGAACCTGCCCGGCTGGCTGGGGGCACAGCCATATGGTAGACACACGTCTAGAAAACTCAGCTGGATTCAGTGAATTAGTTCTAGAGAAAAGGAGGGTCCTTGGAGACGAGAAGACGCATCAAAAGATGTAAGCCAGACATGCATGGGGGGTGCGTTAGCCTTAGAGAAGTTTTGCTTACTCTTTGGTGAATTAGAACTCCATAGTTAAAAAATAAGTAATTTCCTGAATTGCTGAAAATTACAAATTAAATGCTTGGGATGAACTTGTTTCACTGTTTCAGGTTTTTGCCTGCATGTTTTTAAGCATTTGACCAAACTGGTTATGATTTTAATTCCCTCCCCTCTCCCTTCCTTCCGGAAATCTAGTTCCCCCAACAATCAAGTCCTCAGGCCCTCCCGAGAGAACGGTGGTGAAACACAAGCCTGTCACCCTGCAGTGCATAGCCAATGGCATTCCAAATCCGTCCCTCACATGGCTGAAAGATGACCAGCCTGTGAACACTGCCCAAGGAAACCTCAAAGTAAGTGCAGACATCACAAGCCAAAACTGAGACAGCGGCTTACATCTTCCAGGAGCTGGCACATCGTTGTTTCTGGATTGCAGATTTTCCTATCAGATTTTACAGAAAATTTTTAAAGCAATATGTGTGATCCTTAAAGTTTTTTTTTTAGAATTTAACTTAACATTATGACTTAAAGGATAGAATTAAAGACAAGGATACCAATTTTGATATAGTGGTTGGTATTTTTAAAATTTGATCTATGCCTGTTTTACTGCCCCAAAAAAGTAGTATTTCATGGATGAATAATGTTCATCAGTAATGGCCAGTTATGCCAATATGACATTAAAATGAAGGGAAAGTCCTGTCTACATAAACTTAAGTGAAATAAATCTTGAAAAATATCTTTAAAAAGTAGTTTGTAAGCTTCAAGGGTACAGAGGCTCAGCTAGTCTCCATGAGTAAGTTTGTGATATTGTTGAATTACTAGGTGGGTAGGTATGCAGGTGGTAGGTGGGGAGATGGATGGATGGATGGATGGATAGATGTGATATTGTTGTGTTCTAGCTAGGTAGACTGGCTGATTTCAAACCTGGATAATCTGAATGATGCATTTGAAATTTTGGAAAGAAAATAGATTTTGCTACTAGGAACAAGTTAATTGATTAAATGGACTTGGGTTTTAGGTGAACTAAATTTTTAAAAATGAGATATGTGTTGAGTTCCTCTCGTAGTAGGTGAGTACCTGTTCATTTTTTTTTTCCTATTTCAAATCCAATGGAACTTATCTTAGACCTTTGAGTGAGTGAGAGGTTTAGTACACAGCCTTCCAACACAGTGCAGATGGACAATTGTTTTCTTGAGAGACAGGCATGGTTCATGTAATTTTACAAAGAAAACTGCAAAGGAATGAGTGGTTTTCAGAGAGAATATGAAGAGGAATGAGAGTATACAAGGAGAGAAGCTTTGGAACAGAGTTATGAAGAAGATGTAGGAATTAAATGGTTGAGTTCATGGAAAAGGACTGAGTAGAGTGCTTGAGAGAAGATGTGCATGAGCAAACAACCCAATGGACCCAGAAACAAGAGAGGGGGCCAAGGAAGAGAGGCAGTAGCAAGGTGGTGGTAAAAGAGACAGACAGCAACCAGTAGGCACTTGGGTAAGGACAGTGATTTTATTTCTACTTCAAAGCAATGGTAGACCTTAACAGAGTTTTCAGAGAGAAATGACATGATCAAGTTTGCATTTTAAGATGTTATCTGACCCCTTCCGAAGAATGAACTACAGGAGGCAAGGGTAGAGACGTAAAACCAGTGTGGACCCATTTGCATTTTGCTTGGAGAGCAAGAAGGTGCCAGATTGTACTCATGCTGGCCGTGGAGATGAGGTTCTGGCACGTATTTAGGAGTTAGTTATCGGTTTATTCATTCAGGGCTGGTGAACGACTGTGACGTGTGAGTGAGAGGGGCAGATGAAAAAGACACCCAGGAATCTAACCTGTGTGCCTGGAAAGAGTTGCCATACAGCGAACCAGGAGGAGGACAGATGTGAGGGCAGAGACGTCTGGGTGTAAGGTGGCTTTGAGATGAGCTCATGCGCTGTCAGTAGATCTCAGATGCAGTTGCGTGACCCTAGAGCACAACACTGAGCCCTGGCTGTAGATACAAGCACATCATGATAACTGAAACCGTGGGACATGATGAGCTACTCCAGGGGAGAGTAAAGAGTAGGAAGAAAAAGGTAGAGTCCCTACCTACTGCGGAGTCTTAAACTAGATATTGAAGGCCATGTGCCGGAGTCCAGAGGTGAGTATCAGCAACAAATGGTACTTGACTGCCTTTAGCATGATGCGGCTGTAAAAGGTGCAGTGAGAGTGAACACAGGGGTCGCAGAGAGCCGGTGGGGTCGGGGTGTGGTGAGTCTGGAGGACTGTGCGTTTCAGTTTCATCCTGGGCAAGGTGGGGAACCGTGAGTGAGGTTTGAAGGGGAACTGGTAAAAAGCTCAGTTTTTGCAATTTAAGCAAATTATTCTGGCAACAGAATGCAAGTTAGATTAACGTTTGGGAAGGCCGCAGACACTGGAACATCAGTTCAGAAACTTGCAGTCCCAGCGTGGCTGTGGAAATGGAAAACGGGATCTGCGGAACATCCGGTATAATTCACAGGAGTCGGAGGCAGCTCCAAAACCCAAATGGCTGGAAAAATAGTGGAGGACACTAAGCAAGGTTGGGAAAATACACTGAGAAGTAGCGTCAGCCATCCAAGGAAAGACTTTATGAGCCTGGGTTTGGATGTGTTAGATTTCGTGTGCTAATCTGCCCAGCAGACAGCTGGAACTATTTGTGAAATGCTCACGAGAGAAGTTGAGGATAAAGCTGTAAATTCAGGGGTCTGCATAGGGTTTTTCACTGATAGTAAGGGTTTGGATGGAAACTATCAGAAAGCTAAGTTTCCACTTTGTGGAACAGGAAGAGGAAGTGGAGTTGATAAGATTATCTCCTAAGAAGGCCAGACAGTAAGAACTGAGTGGTGCTGTACCTTCATCACCCAGAGTAGTGTTCCAAGGAGTAGGTAAGTGGTGGAAAAGAGTAGGCACCCACTACCCAGGTGTGGGTGCTGTGATTGAAAATCACTGAGAGCCCCGGATCATCAGTTCCAAATGCCAGAGACTCCTTGCAGTGTGTTAAAGTGAAAATAAGGGAAGACATTTATCTGCATTCCCATTATTCCCATTTTATCATTTTTCTAGCCCCCGTGACAATTGAATAAAAAAAAATTGCTTTAAAACTATTTATGAAGTGTTAAGTAAATGTGGTCATGTTTTTTCAAATAGCTTACATTTTCATCACATACTTCATAGTTCATTGCTGAAGTCTTCTATTCAATGGCGTTTTATGACTGTGCCAGCAGGCTGGTCTTAGGTTATTTTGTGGGTTTTGTTTTGCAGTGAATAAAAAAAAAAAAACTTTCCAATCAACCAATCAAATTAGCCCATTTTCTTATGCATTATGAAGTGATCTGACTCTGAAGAGATCATTAAGATAATGGTATGAAAATAGAATTAGACAGTATAAATTTAAATGAAGCTTTGTCTCAGTGAACGTTCCAGTCCAAGTGTAAAGTAAAACACAGTGCCACGCTTTCTGTTCCCAATTAGGTACAGTCTTCTGGTCGGGTTCTGCACATTGCCCAGGCGCTGTTGGAAGATGCTGGCAGATACACATGCGTGGCCACCAGTGCGGCAGGAGACGCGGAGCAGCCCTTCCAGCTGCGCGTGCATGGTAACCAAGTCTCCACGTCGTGGGGAAAGAATGTTCCTGCGCCTGCCTTTGTTTTCAGCATGGTGGGGTCATTTTTACTGAATTATAATGAAAAAGAAACAAGGGTCTATTTTAGCCCATATGAGAAAAAACTACACAGTTTCTTTTTTTAAATTATTATAATTGCTCTTACTAAGGTCTTCAGCTTTTGTGTCGTTAAGGCATGTGCTGGGACCGACCCATAAATACAGATCCTGCATTTTGAGTTATGTGTCATTTGTTAATGATAACTTTCTGTATCGCTTTGGTTGAGAAGTCAGAAGCTACAGGTGATTTCTTAGTTTTGTCTGTAATTTTGCTTGTGGCCTGTGAGGGTGGTTTTGTAGAGAGGCTGCTGTTGACCCAGCTTCTTCTGCTGTGACTTTAGTAAAAAGCCAGGGTGGCCATGGAGCACCACTTAATGTAACCACCCCCAAATAAGTGTGAAAGACCGCATGGCCTTGAACAGAAGCCTTCAGATCTCTGCAGGTCATCAGAGAAGATCGAGAGCTGGAGGCTTGGACTTTGCTGATGCAGCCAGGATATTCGCAGAAAGCTGGTCAAGCTCTCCACCTACGTGTTATTCATTTTCTCTAATTCACACGATTGCTTATTCAACCTCTTATTCATTCATTAATATAATCATTCCACATTAACCAAGAAATTGGCCCCAGAATAATGCCCAGTACTGAACTCCAGGTGTATAGTAGGCAGTCAAAAAGCATTTAGTGAATAATAAGTGAATGGAAAAGTTAAAATTGGATTTTGCATTCTTCTAACTTGCCTCTCTGCACATTTTCTTTAATTGAATCAACCATTGGAAAGATTCAAATGATCAGCTTCCTAAATATTACCAATAGGCCAGGTTTTGGTTTTATATTAAACCTAGTTCCCTAAATAAGAACTCCTCGCCCATGAGTGTTTGCACATACAAGCCTGTTCCTTCATGGAGCAGGAACTTGGGGAAGAGTATCCGAATGTGACATTAGGGATTGATGGGGACAGGCTGACCCTGCTGTCTGTTGTGTGAGCTTGAGTTTGCCTTATTCCTCAGCCATTGGTGTCTCCCCAGCACTTGGTGAGAGCTGTTGCCGTCTGCTCCAACCCTCACCCGCATGTGAGTGTTGCTGGGAGTGGATTTTCGCTCTTCTCTCCTGTTTCCCTGCCTCCAGGCACCTTCTCTCTCCTCTTTGCATATAAAAATAGTCTCCTGGGCCCAGTCCCACATGTCCTGGATCAGCATCCCTGATGCGGGTGGTCTGTGTGCCAGCGTTTGGGGAAATACTGGCCTGTAGCTAAAGACCAGAATCCATGCAAGAAACCAAAGATCTCATCAAATAGAGAGCAACAGCAGAAGAGAAAAAGCAGAACTGATATCTAAGAATACACAACTCTGTAAAACTACCATCTGAAAACGGTACCAAAATGTGACTTGGCAGAAGATGCAATTAGGGAACCATCTACCTGGAAACTCATCAAAGAGAAGGGAAGCAGACCAGAAAACATTTGGGTTAATGTGAAAAGAAAGAGAAACAGAAGTTGGAAGTTCCACGAGTATATTAAAAATTGCCAGATCAGATGGCGAATCTAAAATGATTTTAATACAAATCTCAGAATACAGCTGCACCTTAAAGAATTTCATCTGATATGATCTTTTTTTTAAAAAAAAAATTTGTTTGAGAGGCAGAGTTAGGGAGAGAAAGAGATAGAGAAATCTGCCATCCACTGGTTCACTCCCCAAATGCTGCAATGATGGGAGCTGGGCCAATCCGGAGCCAGGAGCCAGGAGCTTCTTCCGGGTCTTCCACCCAGGTGCAGGGGCCCAAGCACTTGAGCCATCTTCTGCTGCTTCCCCAGGCCAGAGCAGAGAGCTGGATCGGAAGAAGAGCAGCCGAGACATGAACTGGCACTCATATGGGATGCCAGCTTAATCTACTACCCCATAGCTACGATCTTGACCTCTAGATAACAGTCCATCTCCCTGAAAGGAGGGTAAGTCCTGAAGTGAGCTGCTGGCCCTAATTGGGATCAGTCATGCAGGCGATGGTTAGCTAAGCTCATCCAACTGGAGTCGTCGCGGAAAGTTGGATTACCATCTTGGCACTCCTGACAGCAGTGTCACATTGGGTGCTTGACGTCCCAAACCGGACCTAGCCTCTTCAGTCCTGGTACTGATATCACAGGGTATTGGTATTGCCCTATCAATCCTTCTGTTGAAAGCTTCTATTGTAATGAAAGGCTTAAAATGGTGGGGGAAGTAGGAATTTCTGAGAGATCCGTAGACAATAGACTGAAAGGACTTCAGAGGCTAGAGTGACAAGTTAGTATGACATAGAAACTATGTAAGAATTGTATGTGAAAAAGTGGCTGAATGATTCTGCCTGTTTAAATAGTTGAATATTTGGATTTTAATTTTTCCAATTACTGTGCATATGATAATGCAGTTTCATATAAAAGCAAATCACTTTTTGAAGTCAGTTATAGCAGCTCCACTATAAGGAACAAGAGAGGATCTAGCCTTTTTCCCCTCTTGCTCTCTGAACACTAAGTATTTTTCTAGCTCTGGCGCTGCATGCTATAAGCAGGGCTCTGACAGGTCTGTAGGGAAGCAGTCATCATTTAATTGAGTTCAGTTATTATCTAACCAACTCTGTAGTTACTTTTGAAGCTAGTATTTGTTTTAATCCCAGTTATTTATGGATGTGTGCCACATTTAGCAAATATGCATTTACTTCAGTTGTCATCCAAAAATGTTTAGTCATAAGATACTCAACATTCCAATTTTTAAATATTTTCCCTTCTTATAAAAAGATCTAAGATACTGCCATTCTTCTCAATCACAGCAAACAGTGTTTCCAAAAGCTGAAGTCATGGTGTAAGTTCTCCTGGGCTGGTGCGTCATGATCATGAGAAGAGGAACATTCATGGGCCGTTCCAGCGTAGGGTGGGGGTGAGGGGTTCTGTCTATTGTAAAAGGCAGGAGCCCTCAGTAGGTGGTCTTATGTGATCATCAAAGATTCATGATTCTGGAAGTTTTATTCTGTAGCCCAAACTATGAAATTATATTTAAACTTCGAATGTTTGCCAATTGAGACAGATGTTTCCACAAACAAATGATTACTTGGGCCTATTAGCTCAAATATTCATTTCATCTGCAGGCAATTAAAAATCCCAGCCAAGGTGAATCACCCAGAAGGCGAATGCTGTTCAAAGAATGGGCTTCCTTTTGGGTCACCACAACACCAGTTAATACCTGCGGGATGTTGGGTTCTGATGTTAACTTTTTTTTTTTTTTTGACAGGCAGAGTGGACAGTGAGAGAGAGAGACAGAGAGAAAGGTCTTCCTTTGCCGTTGGTTCACCCTCCAATGGCCGCCGCGGCCGGCACGCTGCGGCCAGCGCACCGTGCTGATCCGATGGCAGGAGCCAGGAGCCAGGTGCTTTTCCTGGTCTCCCATGGGGTGCAGGGCCCAAGCACCTGGGCCATCCTCCACTGCACTCCCTGGCCACAGCAGAGAGCTGGCCTGGAAGAGGGGCAACCGGGACAGAATCCGGCGCCCCGACCGGGACTAGAACCCGGTGTGCCGGCGCCGCAGGTGAAGGATTAGCCTAGTGAGCCGCAGCACCGGCCTCTGATGTTAACTTTTTACAGACTTCATGCTTCATCTGTGAGATGGGCAGGAGGATGACGATACACCCCAGTCGTGTGTGGGGCCGCTGTGCGGGTTGGGTGAAACTCTACATGTGCGAGTCCTAGCCGGCTGCACGTGAGAGTGGCGGCACAAAGACTGTTGTGCCAAAAGACACGTTTGGCCTCTGGTGCTCTCACTGCACCATTGTAACACAGCGGTCTAAGGTCCTGCTGCCTTTGTTACTGCCCAGGAACCTTCTTGGGTCTGTGTTAGTCATCTGATAAAAACATTAGCAGAGCCCTCTCCCCCCCACTCCCACCACTTACTTTTATTTTTTTAAAAGTATTTGCTTGGCTAACATCTGCTAACACCCACTCAAAAAGGGATTCTCTGTACTTTCTGTGTTTTGTTTAATGGCTTACTGGTGGCCTAGCAGACACTAGGGAATGCTGTAGGGAACTGTTTCCCCTTTTTAAGTAGGTAAGTTCAGTTCGGGACTCCACAGTTTTCACGGTGCACGTGATTTTCTTATTTCATGATCTTGCTGGTCAGAGAAGATGAACTCACCAAAGTCACTGTTAGACCAGTTACTTATGGACTCAGATCCAGCCAGGATTTGAGTCACTGTGCCTGAGTGATTGGAGCAATAGGCAGAGTCTAGCCCCTCGTGTGTCAGGAAGGTGCTGTGGTTTGGGCATGATGTGCACACACAGCCTTTGGAAGAAGAAACGCAAACGCAGCAAGTTGAGCGGGCTTGGACTTCCTGCCTGGAAGACGCAGACATCTTCGTGTTAACAGAAGATGCCGCTACCTTACTGATGCTGCATCATGCTTCTGAGTTTAAGATTCGCTGGGAGGGAAGGAGGGTTTGTACTGCATTGATTTTCCCCTGAAAGGAGAGTGAAGTCGTGTTTCCCTGCTGTTTACTGTATGGGCCTGGGTCTGTTTGGAGCTTGAGGCATTGAACCATCACAGGCTTTGTGGGCAGGATTCTAATTCCTTGGCAGACAGTCGCCGCAGGAATTGAGTAGGTTTCCAGTCCACTTGTTTCTGGTTAGACCCATGCGCTTCTCTGCGGAGAGGGCTTCAGTCCTCGGCTTCCCTCTTTTCAGTCACTGGGTCTGTTTCGGCAGTTCCAAAGCATGTGTTTTAAATTGTGGCTACCCTAAAAGAACCAGCTAAGGTAATGGGTGTCCTGATGTTTGCTACATCTAGCTGAGAGAACTTAGTAGAAGCCTCTAGGGGAAGGGGGACTGTAAGCAGTCCTTTTTGTCTCTCGCTCTTTGGAGTAGAAAAAGTCATTGGCTCTCTTCCCTGCCCTTTGAAGGTATAAATTAGAACTGTGTTGAAA